AATGAATAGTGGAAGATAATCAATAATCTCTACTTAAGTAGGCCATCTGACATTGGGCGTAAGTATCATTCGCCTAAAATCAAAAACGATTGTCACATAAGTTACTTTGACAAAAATTCATAGATATGTCATAACTTTTTTTATACAAACAATTCTTATATAGGTACAACTTTCGATATAAACAGGTTTTTTTCCTTTTATTCTTTGTACATAACTGTAACAGTAAAATAAAATGTTAAGATGCATTGTCTTCATTCGCAAATATTTCCTTAAAGTGAATGGGAGGCCTTGGTCAAGTAAGTTCTATATACTCTATTTTTTCATTAATAGAAACTAAGTTGTATTGTAATACTTTAGAGAATAAACTCTACCCCCACGAATATACTATTAAACAAGCAACTTAAGGAGTTTTATTCTAAAAAGGCTTCCCGGAAATATTGGCGTTCCATTTACAGCCGTAACAGTTTTATTATTTGACCGAGTACAGTTCGACTCTAACAGGATTTATATGCACAGTTGCAGCTGAAGGTACCGTTACCTCAGACTACGCCACGAATTTAAGAGTTGCCGTTACAACACCTAACAGCGCTGTCGTCTCAAACGCACAAGCTTCTATTGCGTACGCTATTGGGGTAAATAACGGTACTGGTGGGATAGGTGATCCAATTTAACGTGAAACCGCCGACCCGTGTCTTGTGGACGTGTTTTATCAACATCTTGCGCAGCAAGTATGACAACAACGACCAACACTACTCGTTTTCATCCGGCTACAATTGCACGAACTACTCCAGCAGCTGGGGCGCCTACAAATGGTATGTCCACCGCTAGATCGACAAACTCAACGCCTTTCCATCGTTTCCGGCTGCTGTCACTCAAATAACAAATGCTTCAGCGCCGCACTCACCAGCGGGCATTTCTTCGGGGGGGGTCTTTTGCTAATTTCAATTTTTTAGGTTACGCACCGGCCAGAGCTCATAAAATCTACCCATTGCCAAAGTTTGGTGGACAGCCTGAAGAATGGCAAGCTTCCATAGAAGATTTCCATAGAATTTCAGTACAATGAATTACATAGCATTATGAGAATACGTGAAGCACTGTATGGACCTGCCAGGGAAATGGTAGAAGCACTTTTATCCAGTACGAAAAATATCAATGCTATATTAAGGACGGTACCGGAAACATGGTCGTCCAGAATAGCTAATAAAGAGAGAGGATAGGTTAATGGCGTTTGCTAACAAGGTAAATAATATGGCATTATTCTTGCAATCAGTGGGCGCACAACATCATCTGGTAAACCCGACTTTGGTTAGTGAGATTGTATAGAAGTTGCCGATGACAAGTCGTATGCAGTGGGCTGAAAAATGTATGGAATTGGGTCGTGCACCTAACATAGTGGGTTTTGCGCAGTGGTTGACATGTTTGCGTAGTCTTGAAAACATGGTGAACAAGGGCAAATACTCAATTAGTCTTGCGCGCCGTAAATGTGTTATTTGCGAAGACGATTGTCAATCGCTTGCTTCGTGTGAAAAGTTCACTAAGCTACCAGTTGAGAGCATATGGGAGCATCAAAAAGAAATGAAAGTGTGTTCTGCGTGCTTTAAATCCAATCATACCGTAAATAAATGTTTTTCTAAGAAGTGCTGTGGCATCAGTAATTGTAAAAAATACCACAATCGTTTATTACACTCGATTCATACTGATTCTAGTGAGTCATCGACCAGTGATTGAGTAAGAGGGGAGCTGCCCCATGAAAAGGTTAGTTGCCACTTTGGTAGAAATGGAAATGAGCTTTTATTTCAAATCATGCCCGCTAAGTTAATGAATCGCGAAAAAGAGATTGTTGTGTAATGATTCATAGATGATGGCGCTGACGTCACCATGCTAGATTGGAGTATTGCAAAAGACCTTGGCCTAAGTGGAACGAAAGAGCACCTGGAGTTATCTGAGCTCATTCCGTAAAAGAACCTACCGAAGTGGTTGAGCAAAGTATCGGCATCGCGTCACATGTAAAATAATTAAAGTATATTTCAACAAAAATTTGATTCTGTGAAAGCAGTCATTTTAATAAGAACGAAGTACTGGGAGTCAATCCAAGTTTTCACGACGTACCTTTGGAGAGTTATTCCGACGTCCAGCGCAAGATGATAATTAGCCTTACGCATGCATTTTTAACATTGCCAATTGAAGTTCCTCGGCCATAAACGGGCCCGTGATTGTTAAAACACGCTTGGGCTGGGTAATTTTTGGCCCTACTGGAGAATGCTCCACGACGAAGAGCAGAGCACTACATGCTCATCGTATTAAACACAACGACGACAGTAAAATGAACGAGATTATGTGTCAATATTTTGAAATAGAGACATGCGGTGTCAAAGCTATTGCTGCGAGGCCATTGAAGTCAAAAGCATCGATGCCAGTACTCATACTTGCAAAAAAGTATGGATAATACTCGTACTTCCAAGAATTTTTAAGGCAAACGTGAAAAGTAAACCAAATTCAGATTGCTTTGCTTTTATGATCTCTTCCCATTTGTGAGTTGAACAGACACTGCTGAAATCTGATCTAACAAGGATTTCTTAAGGGTTTTTAAAATAAACATCCCTCCAGAAAGTGACATCAGCTTATACCTAACTTGAGTCTGTTTATGCGAACACTAGTGCTAACTAATAACTATATTTTGTTTGAAAAAGGCAAGCTACTTTTTTGGGGCGATGGCCGCAAAGAAGTCAGACCCTGATACCTCTGCATCACATGTCAACTAACTTGCAACTAGCTACTTTTGGACATAAAATATCAATAAAAAACATTTTGTTAATTTGTTATTTATTTTTATTTTATTTTTTTAATTGTAATTTATTTAATTTATATTCACCTGGGAGTGGCCAGAAGTGATTCTTGTGCGTACGGTTCAAATCGCAGCTCACAAAGTCCGGTTATTTATGACCACGTATCCTCTGGATAGCAACCAAACACCCGTTTGGGAGCGAGCTAAAGTGGGAAGGTGTAAAACTTCGCGTGCGATGGGATTAGGTCCCGCCACGTTAAAACCCCGCCCATTGAAAAAGTTCAACAAGCCTCGGATGAACCCCCTTTTTTTGATGACGACCACGGCAAGCGTATAAAGGACTATTATTTGAGGGTATGCACCTGGAATATCCGGACCCTTAATGGGGAAGGTGCATCTGCCAGGATGGTTAATGTCCTCGGGAAGACAAGGGCCACCGCCATCCAAGAAGTGCGATGGACGGGGCAAGGAAAAGTAAGTGTGAAGCCTTGCAACGTCTACTACAGTTGCCACGTAAAGGAGCGAAAATTCGGTGTTGGATTCGTGGTAGGAGAGAGACTCCGTCTCCGAGTAGTTCACCCCGGTGGACGAACGTCTAGCCACAATCCACATCAAAGCGAGATTCTTCAACATCTCGCTCATCTGCGCCCATACCCCGACGGAAGAGAATGACGAGGCGTTTTAATGCCAAGGTGGGCAAGGAAGGAATCTTTGACGCCACTGTCGGAAAATTCAGCTTCAACGACGAAACGTCCGATAACGGACTGAGGCTGATCGACTTCGCCGGGACCCGAAACGTGGTAATATGTAGTACTAGGTTCCAGCATAAGAACATCCACTAAGCTATATGGCTGTCTCCAGATCGAAAAACGAGAAACTAAATCGACCATGTTGTGATAGACGGAAGGCACGCTTCCAGCGTTTTAGACGTACGTACACTCCGAGGGCCAAACATCGACTCGGACCACTGTCTTGTAAACAAGATACGCACCCGCCTCTGTGCAGCAAAAAATGTGCGCCCAACAATACAAGGAAAGCTTAACGTCGAAAAGCTGCAATCACAACAGACGGCCAATTTATTCGCCACTCGACTCACATGCCTGCTCTGAGAGCTCTCTTCAACAATCCGACATAACCAAGCAGTGGAACCACATTTCCCGATCATTAAGTACCGCCGCCGAAGAAGTAGTTGGATTTTAGCGAGCCCGAAAGGACAACTGGTACGATGAGGAATGTCAAGAAGCCGCAGAGAAAAAGACGTCGCCTATAGTGCCACGCTACGATCGGGCGCAACGCGAGCCATGTGGGACCGTTATAGGAAACTGAAGAAGGAAGCGAGACGTATTTGCCGCAATAATTAAAAAAGAGCCGAAATGCGTGAGTGCGAAGAGCTTGAGATGCTTGCAAATACAGTCACCACAAGTGAACGATACTTATAACAGCTCATACTGATATTGACTTCGGCAAAACAGTATTCGGAGTAAACGTGCACGAAACCAGCAACCGCCGTATTTGAGCGACTGCCGAAAGCACGATACTGCATTTGGACGGTTGCCGAAAACACGAGAGCTCATTTGGACGGTTGCCGAAAACATGAGAGCTCATTGGGATGGTTGGCGAAGGTAAGACGCCGAAGTTCATTTGTTGCAGAAGTCGTTTGACTTGTTGCTGAAAGCCATTTCATTTGTTGCTGAAGGCATGTTTGATGGATTGCCGAAGTCATGATACTGTATTTCAAAAACAATTCAACGACATTTGCTTGTTTGAAATGAAGCATTGATATGTACATACATACATACATACGTACGTATGCACATTCCTCACAACTAGCCTGCCAACACGCTCTTGGCGCCAGCAGGGAGTAAAGAAATTGAATGGTAGACGCGCTGTAAATACATACATACATACGAGACGATAAAATACCCTTTACTACATTCGTCGTGCCTTCGGCAACAAGTCAAATGGCTTTCAGCAACAAGTCAAACGACTTCTGCAACAAATGAACTGCGGCGTCTTGCTTCGCCAACCATCCCAATGAGCTCTCATGCTTTCGGCAACCGTTCAAATGCCGCGTTTGCTAGTTTCGTGAACGAGCATTCAGAATACTGTTTTGCCGAAGTCAATATCAGTATGAGCTGTTATATGTATCGTTCACTTGTGGTGGCTGTATTTGCAAGACAGCACGCTATGTCATCCTGTAATTTCTTTTAGGTATCGATACTACTAAGTCAACGCGCTGCTCAGTCATACAAAGCAGCAGTATTGATTGAGTATGCAATAGTTGGCGTTCAACGCAAGCCAGTCTCTGGTAGGGCTAACTTGAAACCATGCACCATTGGCGACAGAATTGAGATATTGAAAACGGTACAACGTAAATAATTGTAGATTTTTTGTTGCATATTTGTTGTGGAAAGAAAAAAATTGTAGTCTCGTTTTTTAAGAAAAAATGGTATGTAGTGCTATTTTGACTCCTTACACGTAGTCGATAGAATTAAGATATCCTTTATGTCACTATGCCATTAATTATGGGCTACATTCTGCACCCCGTCGGGAAAAGTCCCGATTTCCGAATTAAGTTCCGAAGAAAAAATTGTTTGCATTCCATTCTCCGACGGAGATGTATAAGTTGTTCGAATTTTCGAAGTTATTTGTCATTTACATCTTTCAAGTGACAGCTTATTTTGAAAATAGAAAGCAGTTGCAAGAATGAGTTATTTTAAGAAAAAAGCAAAGAAAACGTTGTAGCAATAAAAAAAATGCTAAAAATTATGGAATTCATTGCTGCTGGTATTTTATTAATCGAAGAAGATGAATATTCAAGGAGTAACGCAGAAAATATAAAACGACAACTTAGAGACGCCTGCGATCCCTTTCAGTTGAATGTTAAGGCGTAAGTGTAAGACAGATATCAACATTTAAAAATTACAATTAGGTTTCTTTCAGATTTAAAAAGAACTTTCCGACAAGCAAAGATTCCTTTAAATATTTGCTAAGAATATTGGATCAAGAGTTCGGTGGCCCGACAAAGAGTTCATCAATAACGAGTCTGAGCCGCTTGGTAGCTTTCTTAAGGTTTTTTGCAGAAGGAGGCTACCAACACGGAGTTGGTAAGGACTATGATGTCGGAATGACGCAGCCCACAGTATCGAAGACAATATCGCTGCTATTAAATGTTTTTGAAAGGAAGGTTTGCCAAATCTTGATAAATTTTATTATGGACGAGTCGGAAGTAGTAGAAGCAAAACAAGATTTTTACTCAAAGGCAATGTTTCCAGGAGTAGTAATGTGTAATGACGGTACTCACGTTAAATTAACAGCACCTTCGCCGGAGACGTTTCTATTTTTCAACCGAAAAGGCTGTTATAGTCTTATGGCCTTATTCATAAAAAATAAAATAGGTTCAAAGAGCTCTCTAAAGTGACATTTCCATACAAAATTTCGATTTATAAAGCAGTTAAAGTGTTCTTTATTTTTTATGAATTTGTGTATTAATGTAATGATAGTAAGTTTGATATAATTATGTATATACAAAGTAGATATGTATGTATGTAACTTTTGAACGTAACGTTTTAATTTATTTTAGATATGCGACCATAAGTTGAGAATAAGAGCAGTAGATGCACGGTATCCAGGACGTAACCATGATAGCCATATTTGGAAGTTAAGCGGCAATTTAGAGAAGGAAATACTAACACGTGGCTTCTTGGTAGTAAAAAGCTGTACCATGTAGCTTACAGATAAATATTAACAAATATTCTTCTAGGCGATGCCGGCTACCCACTCGAACCTAGGCTTATGACCCCTTATAGAAGTGCAGCTGCAGAGTCGCCAGAAAGAATTTTCAATGATTACCATTCAAAAACACGAAGTGTGGTAGAAAGAATAATTGGTGTGTGGAAAAGCCGATTCCGATGTGTTTTGGGGGAACGAGCTTTAAATTATGTTCCTCTAAAGGCCTGCCAAATTGTAAACGTGGCTTGTGCTCTCCACAACATATGTATTCACTTCCGCGATGACCAATTTGAACCGTTGCCTGAGAGAGATGATGTGGAAGAAATTGAGCCCGATTATGACCCGGAATTTGAGAATCTTCGGAGTGATGCTGAACGAACACGCCAAAGAATTCTTGCAACTTTTGCGTTGTGAGTGTAACCAAACCATTAGAAAAGCTTTAAATGTACATAGTATTTACCTAGAATATATCTTATCTGGAAATAAATGAAAACTTGTGTCCTTACTTCAACTCTTATCTTAATTTATTAAAAAAGAAAATAAATATGAACATTCCATTTCTCTAAAAAACATAATCAACTAAAAATATACGTTTAATATTTACATCTCTCACTCGCCTCAAATTTTGCTTGTTTTAATTCGAGTGCTATAGCTTCTAATTCTGGCGCTTTTTTTTTTAATTTATTGCGTTCCCTTAAAGCAATTTCTTTGACAGCATTATGTCGCTTAAATTCCTTCAGTTTTTCTTTTTCTATTTCACATAGTTTTTCTATGCCGCGATAAACTCCTGCCTTCCACCGAAGCTTAACCCACCTTGAAGGCCTGAGGTGCAAGTTTCTAGCCCGGTCAGCGAAATCACTTTATCTTCTAAGGAGCTTATGGGCCTTTTATTAAAACTACCCCAGTAGCTCGAGACTCCATTTTGTTGTGGGAAAGCTTCTTTTTAACGTAGCTCTTCCAATCAAGCCATGTCTGAAACCAAAAGATACGTTAATAAAAATTTAAAGCAAATTGTCATCAATTGTATATATAACCTTTCGCCACCCTGCCCAGTCCCTGCATGGTGGTCCCAAAGCATTCAGCTCGTTAGCGGCTTGCTTCCAAAAGTCTTCCACATCACTTCGACCTGTGCAATGTCCTTCCTGTTGCTGAGTAGCTCTACCAACAATTCGTATTGGCTTGGATTGGTGTTCCTCGGCCTATTATGCATATATTTCATATAAATACAAACGCATAAAGTATTTGTACAATTTTGTACATACATTTTATTTAATTCACAGTACTTAAATGTGAAAAATTTAAGCAGATTCCGACGTTGATCTTCTTTCGGGAAAAACTACCTACGAATAACTGTTGCGAAGTGATCCGGAATACATACACTTGAAACTTGAATTTTCGTAATTTTGGAAAATTCGAATAACAGTTCGGAGACTAGAATGCCAAGGTTGCCACTGTTCTTTTTTCGTAACTACGACGGAAATTCGACGTGGTGCAGAATTAGGCCCTATACCTTTTGACTTAAAAATTTGTTCTGAAAATAAGAAATTTGTCGCATTCGTTTTTCTCGGAAAAATTTAGTTGACCGTTTTTCGAACAAGATTTAGGCCCCTATTGCGAGTGTCGACTGGCAGTAGAATAGAAATTTGTCGATCGATTCGATGATCTTTTATTTTGCTATTGTGTAACTTGATCGATAAAAATTTGTACTATTGTGAATGGTTGACTGAATTGTGAACAGCTGTTTGTTTGTTTACATTTGTTTCTTTAGTGTTTCATTTACATCATTTTTAAAATAATTGCTTTATTATAAAATTTAAAAAATTTATAAGTAGAAATATGGTTAGTGATGAGAAAGATGATGTGGAAGCTAATAGATTAGTAGAGTTGGCTAAAGCATGGACGGAATTATGAAATTTGTCGTGTATGTACATATGTGAATTTCATGAATAGAAGTTACCTTCCAGATGCTTCATGGTCTATAGGTTTTACAGGTTTTTGCAGGAAAAGCGGTTTTCCTCATTAATAAACTTTATGGAAGTTTAAGAAATACGGTGCGGTTTAGTTATTTGTACAATTATGTTGGGTATTTGTGTCCAAACGCGTGAGCCGAGTTTAAAAACTTTAACATACAAGTGTAGTGAAAGAATTAAACTTTAATTTAAAATAAAGATTTCAAATTAGCGAGCACTAGTTAATTAATAAATTATGCAGTTTTTTGGAAACTTTGATGTTGGTTCTGCGCAAAAACACTGTGGATAACGTAGTCGGACTTATATGCACAAGATATATTGCATATCTTTCACAATAGAAGCGGAGCTTCCGCCCCTACTCTTTCCGAAAATTCCTATGCCTATGTACTCATTCTCCTGCATCACCTATATAGTTTTCTCTTTCCACAACAAATTTACAACAAAAAAGCTACAATTGATGCCGTTTTAATATTTTCATTATCTCAATTCTATCGACTAGGTGTATAGTGCCAAGTAAGTACTAAATATCATTTTTTCTTAAAAAACGTAGCTACACATTTTTTCTTTCCACAACAAATTTACAACAAAAAAGCTACAATTAAAGCCGTTTTAAGATTTTCGTTATCTCAATTTAATCGACAAAAGGGCATGCTAAATTTTGTTCGAAAAATGTCCAAGTCGATTTTTTTCCAGAAAAACGAAAGCTAAAATGTTTTCCTTTCACAACAAATTTTTATGTCAAAAGCTACAATTAATGCCATAGTAACATATTGGATATCTCAATTCTATCGACTAGGTGTCAAATTAGCACTACATACCATTTTTTCCTTAAAAAGGAAAGCTACAAATGTTCTCTTTCCACAACAAATTTACAACAAAAAAGGTACAATTAATGCAGTAGCTAACTTTTCCAATTTCGAAAGGTGTAGCGCTAACTTGACACACGTGGGCCGGCCTGGCTTCAATCTCGTTTCAACTCAACATCAAAAAATAAAAAACAAAATAAGCTTTTTCTAATAGCTGTCGCCCCTCGGCAGGCAATGGTTAACCTACGAGAGTATTTCTACCATGAAAAACAGCTTCTACTTTAATTTTTATGTCAAAAGCTACAATTAATGGCATAGTAACATATTGGATATCTCAATTCTATCGACTAGGTGTATGGTGTCAAGTTAGCATTACATACCATATTTTTTTTTAATTACAGCTAAAAATTTTTGTCTTTTCACAACAAAGTTACAACAAAAAAGCTACAATTCCGTAGTTAACTTTTCCAATTTCGAAAAGTGAAGTGCTTACTTGACAGACGTGGGCCTGGGTTCAATCCCGGTTCAACTAAACATCAAAAAATAAAAAACAAAAAAGCTTTTTCTAATAGCGGTGGAGATATTTAGAGATGCCTTTTTAAGATATAATCGCAAAAATTTGTAAACCTCATATAGATTTTTTTTGGCGAAGGCGTTTTAGCGATCGCGAAAGGTGGAATCCGGCTGCTGATCTCCCAGTGAATGTGGGATTTCTAGCGCGACGAAAATTCAGTCCTAATGTCGCTCGTTTCTGAAAAATTGACAGCGTGTGATAAGCTTGTTGCAGCGTGTGAACAGCTCATGATCGGGAATACCCAGGGTATTACGGGGCGTAGAACTGCCTCGGTACTTAATATTTCTACACTTAGCGTAGAAATAACGACTACATTAAAAAGTTAGATAAGGAGAGATGGTGGTGGATAGAATGCAGGTACGAAAAGTTTAACGTTTTAAAAAGAAATACTTTTCGT